GTTCGTCAGTGATATACCGTGATTATGAAATAAACGTGCCAAATATCTAATCAAAGTTGTCAAGTCTAGGGATGTCTCAACAGTCTTTGGAATAAGGATTGCCTGCAATATTTGCTTCAACGGGGCTTAAAATGCTTTACATACACTGCATCTTTAGGATAAAGGCTGTTTCTGCTATTCATTGCGAGTGCACAGTGTGAGGCTAGGGTCCAATAGAGTTCTTCGGTAAGCTTAAGGTAGGCATTGGTCTGGATTGATGCAGTAGCTTTACCACATCTTGATTTCAACATGCGGTAAATTCAGTTGTAAAACATCTTTGCTATCAGCGCAGTTTATAAGTCAACTGGCCACAGTTGCTGATACAAGAAACGCGAGTTGAAAATAGCGGTTTAGGACGTTCAGACTTTGCTTTCTGTAAAGCTTAGGAGTTTCTCGAAACTAGATTGGTGGGATTTGGTGTATGAGATTTATTTTAGCCTTGAGTCTCTTCTGGGCATCCCCCTGCAGACTTCTAAACGAATATCGTAAGGATGCTTTCTAGTTTATGACGGATTCTCGCCATTTCTTCTTCAAGAAGTAGATACTGTTTCATCTGTATGTAGGTTTCGGATCTCATTTGAGCAACTTATGGTACTCTGGATAACCTTTTCCAGTGCTTACTTCATATATTATTTTAAGCTGCTAAAAGGAAAGAGAAAACCAGAAGAGATGGAATTATTGTCACTCACGTTTTCTGTATAGGCGTTTTCCACTCGTATAGCGGGCGTGGCCCTGCAGACATTTGAACACGTTGAAAAACAAGGTTGAACCTCCACTTTAGAGCATTGGTTTTTGTAATCTCTAGCTATCAAAAACTGCCACGCGCATACATTGGCAAACGTCGGAAAAGCTCCGCCCGCTACACTGTGGGGAATAGACGATAGCTGAATTGTGTACGGCACCCTCTACGAGGCATCCCACGACTCGAGCTCCTAAACCATGCGAATTTCCGGAAATATCTTTTTGTTTTCATCTCTAAATGACCATCGCGGGAAAAAGCAAGGGTGACTAAACACCAACAACAGTTTCAGTGTCACAGTTTCAATATTGCCGCGCATCGAATGCAAATTCATATAACGGCTTATAAATGGACAAAACCGCTACAGTTTACTCGCGAAGCTTTGACTTCCCTTGAGCTTTCTCATCAGCCTTTGTTTGCATTATGGATATCGTGCGTCTCCCAGAGTTCTTCCCATATAAATCATCAATGTGCCTGCCTTCCGATGGGAGGCGGTCGAAAAGTCTGCGACTGTCACTGTCTAGAAAATCAGGAAAAGATTTGAATTCACTTTGCTACTTCCGGATTCCAAATAATGATCCTTCGTTACACTCTCTAATATAGTTACCAAACTTTCGGAGTTCGGAAACCCTCGCTTTTCTAGATTACGGTTTCCTTTTAGTGATTGCCAAAACGCGCGCCTTTCTATATATACTCCCTCCCGATCGTTTTAACACATCAGCACAATTTTGGGAGATGCACCATATATCCAAAGGAAAGTGCCAATCTCTACATCTCCGTTCATGGTTCGAGTATGTGCGTCTCCTACAGGCGCGGAGACATGGATTATAACTTAATCGTGAAGTGGTTTTGTGTGGAAGTTCTTTGATTTTATCTCGTTATGATAGAGAATACTGCCTGACGGCAACTTATTCATGACCTTTTAGGCTAAAAAGCTTCTAGCGCAATGTTCGCACCGGCGCTGTCGGTGCGGCCCTCAGCATCGACTACTCTGGCTAGAGGAATCTCGACTACTGCATGTTTGAATAAAAACCAGGCTGGTAAATACAGGGTAAGATTTTCAGTAGTTTAACATTTTTGCAAATTATAATTCTTCATACGCTTTTGCTGTTCCAGGCAGGCGCCATACTTATTCGGTTGGACGCTCATCGCTTCATTATTGGTCAAATAGTGAACTGACCAATCAGGAAGCGGCTAACCGGATAAATCGGCGCCTCGAAAGCAAATGCCATAGCGCTTAAAAGTATGCAATCTTTCACATTTGTAAATAATCCGCTTACAGTCTACTGTTAATCGTTCACAATTGCTGACATACGAAATGGCACAGAAACCACATCACATCGGCGTGAGAAAATCTTGGCTTACTTGGCATTCTCAGAATTTAGAAGGTGAGAGTATGATAAAGTGACTTCTGAGTCTTATCGTTCTCCTTCCTTGAAAGGGCCCAAAAAAGAAAATATCTCTAGAATTGTGTGTGATCCTCTCAAATTTCAATGGTGATGGGTCATAAGTCAGGAGTTGCTATTAGCGTTTTTTGCTTATCTATTTCTGGCGCGAACTTCTGGCTTTACCTTGCAGTGATATAGAAGCATCTTTTCTGAATGGCTGACACGGAAAGTTTTGGTTAAAAAGGCATTGTCAAATTTTATGCTATACTGAAGAATGTTAAACGCTGATATACAGTGTCTTCATATGCAATATGACCTTCTTGAGCGACCAGTAAGCTGCTTCAACGCGTGTCAAATTTTTTGACCTAAAGCCACTCAGCTTGGCGTAAAATAGCGCATGGCAGATAGCGAAGACAAATTTGCAACTAATCTAATAAGCTGTAGATTTATGTATCCCACTCGGGCCACTTTGACAGAAAATACTCTTTCCTTACACTGATCAGAACTATCGGTAATAAATAATAATCAGTTTAGTCCGCTTTCACTAAAGATTCATTTTTTACTGTTTATCAGAGCTGAAGGACTTAAAGAGCCTATAGACATTTTTGAGTCGCCTATATAATTATACCCTGTGTTGTAGGTCACTAAATTGAGGTGGTGTTGCTCTCTTGCACTAAAAAGAGCTATATAGATGTAGCTCTCTTGCACATCTCAGTGTTGATGTTGTTGTTGTTGTCGTGTCAGTGTTGATCTCTTACACAAAGTTTGGTGTTGATAGCAGTTAAATTACTCTCTTTATAATCTTGCAGGTTTTCGACAATCGCAACCGTTGATGGTAGTACATGATGAAGTGATCCGTCGGTTTATTCGTGGTTTTTTTCCTCAGCATGTCGTCATAAGTGGAGAAGAGGTTTGTTACTGGCATTCTGTTGTCTGATTCGTGTTGTTACAGCGCTTTTTTAGATCGTAATCAAGAGGAGGGGTAACGTAGTCATCGTCGCTGGCTTTTTGCAATATTCGAGGCGTTTAGATATCCGACGAATATACTGGATGTTTGGCTTCACGGAGGAATTTTTGTCGATCCTCCTGAAGCAGCCTGTGAAATTAGAATTTGCCTTTGTTGAGAGTGAAGCTGATATCGCTTACAATTATATCTGAAATGTAATTCTATTTTGCACCTTATTGATTTGTTTTAGGATAAAGAGTGTGATTAATTTCTGTCAGTCAAAGTTAGTAAACTTGTGTAAAGTGTTGTTTGAGGGGAAGGTTTCACAAAATATCACTGAAATTAAAAAAAGCCCTGCAAGAGCCAGTAAGATCACATGAAATTGTGATGACCTTCATACATGACACCCCCTTATCAAAGCAAAGTCTGCTACTAGATAACAGTCTCCTCATCGATTTTTCCTACCTCGGAAGACCCGATAGCAGACTTGAAGGAGCTAGTTGGATCACAAAATGGCTATTATTTCTTCCTTTTTTTTTGCTCGACATGATTTGCGAGAGATGTGGCAGTGTACCGATTCCTTTGAAGCAATTTTAAATCTCTGACAGTCTTCAAAATATGTATAACCTAGTCATTGAGCGCTGGAAGCTATACTCTAACTTTAGGTTCTGAACGCGGGGGTCTCTTACATCCGATTTAGATGAAAGTACTTTGATCAGACTTTTGGCAACAAATGCTGCTTCACCATTTCATTTCCTCCTTCTGCTGCATTCGAAGCATACTGAATGCTCAGACTTTACATATAACTTCGTTGCTTGATGCATGAGCCTGTTGCATAGTAGGAATTCTCTTTTCATCCACTTGCTCTCATCTAACTCAGAATAGAAAATTTGCTTGTTTGCGATTACTCTGTTAACTTACTGCTGAACAACTTCAAAATCTTCGGATCAAGTTCAGTTCCATTTTTGGAAAACCGCTTGCTCAATGAAGAGAGCATTCCTCGTTGCCTTCAGTTGATCTCTCTTTTCCATTATTTCTTGCTTATCTTCTCCATGTGCCATATTTTATTCTTTGTCATAATCGGGGTGGACAATTTCTTGCAAGTATTGATAGCGACTCGCTTTCTGGGAAAGGTGTGTTCGACCATTATGTACACAAGATTACCTGAGAATTCAGCGAAAGAATTCAGAATTAGACTCTACAATCTTTGAGAAATCATTTGATGCTGCCGAAGCTGCTGGCAGTTTGCTTTTCAGCTCATTGTTAGAGGGAACTGTTATAATGTAGGTTGAATGGTAAAATCACGATAGAATGTAACATCATCCTACTGACTAGCAATCAGCCCTTTTCAAATTATGTCTGTAATCGCAAGCAATAGATCACTCTGTTTTGCATGTAGATAAATGTCACGGATATACAAAGTTTGTGGAGCCAAACAAACTCTATACTTCTGACTTGCAAAGCAAAAATTTCATTATTATATTTTTTGGTTGCGCTCACTGAGGTCCGCTTTCACTTTGCAAGGTGGTGAGTACTATATAACTAAATACTTCAAGAAGAGCGGAATTGAGATTTTCAATAGTTGACTAAAGTTTTACCCGCAATAACGCAGACTGAATCAGGTTCTAGCTTTGCTGAACTGCAAGTGAAGTAAAAGCCATCTCGGTTCTCGGTTTGTGCACGAGACTTCTAAACTGCAAAATTTGATAATAGTAATGTTCCATCATAAAAGCAAACAGGCTATAGTTTCGATAAAGACTACTGTTTAGCAGAAAAAGATATAACACATTATATTTTTGAATATTGGTTTCAACTCGCATGCAGTGGCAATTATCCTCTTTGTATGCAAACGGTCATTATTGAAAGGCATCCGAAGTTTTTAACAGATTTTTGATCTTCAGCTTCTGGGCAGCTGTTTGAGGTTTGAGTTTGGGACTTGTATAAATTAACCCAAGCTCAGCACATGTCCGAACTTTCACCTGCATCATTTTCGGAGGATGATGCCGGTGTAAGGCGAGCACCGGAGCAGTTCGTTGAAGATGCAGAGAGGTCATGCAAGGTAAGCTTATTCCCGTCTTTTTCGATAAACTTTATTTAAAGACAGTCTCTGGGCATTTTGGAACCCCTGTCTTGTAGAAAAACCCAATTGAGAATTTTCGACCAAGCTACTGCCCAAGCTGCACCTCATCTGATTGATTCATGGTCAATCAATTCTACTCCAGCCCAGACGTTTTTTCCGTATATGAAGATGCTCATTGGTCGTTTAGGAAAAGTACCGTCTGAGTCTGGGTAACCAGGTTTTTCTAAATATTGCCTCGAAAAAGAATTCATTGTTACCCCTATTATGGGCGGAGAAGTAACATTTAGTGCCAGAAGTCCTAAAGCGAAGTATATTTTGAATTTTTTTGATCAAGGTTTGCGGTGATCGTGCTAATGGATACAATTTCGGGGTTTTGACTTGCGAATCCTGCAAAGCGTTCTTTCGCCGGAACGCTGTAAGAGAAGAGGCGAGCTGACAATCATAGATGAAGAAATTATAAAATCCTCTACTATTCAGCTACTGTTCAGGAGATAAGATGCCCATTCTCAAACAACTGTGGTATCACTTCTGCGTCTCGCCGATTCTGCCAAGCATGCAGGCTTCGAAAATGCTTTGCGGTAGATTTTATCATCTCGAGTTTTTTATAAATATTGAATTGGGATAAGTTTCAGGTTGGAATGAATAGAACGTGGTTGCAAGATCAAAGGCCTAGGACGCATAGTAAGCGCAGACGTACGCGTGACAATGAAGAGGTGGTTTTCAAAGTTATTTTAGAAAAGTTGTGATGGATGCTGTACAACACTATGATTGAAGGTTTTATTTGCAGGAGAACTCAGATGAAGAGGTCAGGGTGCCGAAAGCTTACTTGAAGGAACTGATCAGGAAATCAAGAAGGTTTGAACAAAGACAAAAATTCGTTTTAAAAGTACTGGAAATTTCCTTGAATTATCGATGCTTAATCAAGTGACTAGTTTATTCTCAACAGTTGATGTATGGGAAATATTGGATGTGATTTATTCTTAAAGGCAGTGTCCGGGCAAAAAGTCGATTTTGAGATTTTGTGCTTACCTGGGCCTATTCACTATGCTGAATCCGAAAATCCACATTGGAAAGCGCAAAAACGGCAAAAAAGGGCTCTAACGCAGGAGGGAAATCGGAAGTGGGCGGGGCCCTCCCCACTGTGAATTTTCGCAGTCCCAGCTTCTGGAGCGATCTTCCCAATTCCTCTAGCGCTCTGAGATCTCCACCGGCCAGGTGCGAATGTATGATTTGAAATCGGAACCGAGAAGATCGCTCTGGAAGCTGGGAGCGTGAATTCACAGTGGGGAGGACTCCGCCCACCTTCTGATTTTCCTCCCGTGTTAGAGCCGTTTCTCGCCGTTTTCGCGCTCTCCAATGTGCATTTTCGGATTCAGCGTAGCGAATAGGCCCGGGTAAGCAAAAAATCTCAAGATCGAGTTTTTGCCCGGACACTGCCTTTAAGGCATGAACTAATTGAAAAATGGCACCCATCATAAAATTTCCTGTCCAATATTGTTTTTCTTCTCAAGTGCCAGAAGACCCTAATTGATAATTCGACACAAACAACTGAAATTATATTTTATTGACCGTAAAGAGACTTTCGTCATTTGCAGAACAAATTATGAAAACCACCTGATTGACTTTACTAGTATGTAAGTAATCGAGAATACTTTAGGGATATAACTTGATCCAAGTCTAGCTGCGGAAAATTGGCCATAACACTTCATTCATTTGTTGGAACGACGTACTTTCGATTTGTAGTAGATTAGATTCCGTAAGAGACCAAAGACTCCAAATATAAAATCCTGATATTTTTCCGTTTCGTCGCTTCCCATGATTTTTATTTCTAGGCCCTCTCCGGGATGTGTAGTACGAGGGGAGGCCCAGGATGTATAATGAAATTTTCAAAACTGCAAACTCACCCAATTTCTCAGATCTCTTCTTTCTTCGTCCCATCCACTGTGTCGCAAGCTAAAAATGAAGTGTTGCTTTACAGACCTCCTTCATTTTGTGAATGCACATGCACCTGCGGCTTTTACCCTGCTGGAACAAGACTGACCGCTCTGACTTGTGACAAGGTGACTGCAATGATTTCCCTTTACAAAAGAATTTGATTGTTACCCACTGAAATTGTGAAGATAGGTCCGGGAAAATTGGTGTTCTGGTTTCTTGAACGGAAACTGTTTAAGGTGGCTTATGTGAGCCGTTACCTAAGCTCGTGCGATTTATTGGTTGAGATACACGAAGTTCAAAAATTACTTTTACCATACTTGAGGCGCTGTTTCGTCCGCTCCTGAGTTCGAGCTAGATTTTGATATCTTTTCACTGCTACGAATAATGTGCGATCGGACTTAACTGCAGGCCCAACTTATTATTCTGTTTTTTCTCTAAAAAAGCGGTCTTATCTGTACGGACTTACCCCTATACCGATTTATTTGCGGAGAGTCTTATGTGTTAGATTCAAAGGCAGTGGTTCGCAAAAAACAGCGAATGTGAGTTTTTATACTCCTTGGCCTGCTGGATGTGTCCAGTTGACTCCCTCGAAGATATCAGAAAACTACATTCTATGACCTTTCCCGGCTTCGAAGATTGCTAAAGGGGTTAGAGGAGAGACTTCCGTCAAAAACGGCGATTGGCCGCAGGAGCCTGTATGGGTGGAGTCTTTCCACCCAATTCGGCGGCAATTGGCTGGTTGGCTCAAGCAGCCTATTTCAGTTCGCTCGTGCAGCCCCTTCAGCATTCTTGAAGGCCGGAAAAAGCTATAAAAAGCACTTTTTTGACAACTTAAAGAGTTCAACACGGTGCTAAACTCGGCGTCAGAAGGTCAAGACGTAATGAAATTCCGCAGTCGCAATTTTATCGAGCCACTGCCTTTAAAGTTAAAGCCTTCTAATCAGTTTCCATTTTCACAAAAGAAAATACTCAGATACCCACATTTGTCCAAAAGACCGTATCACCTAGGACTGTCCACCTACATCGTACCCTTCGTCCTCGTATGCGAGTTCCACAACCGTAGTGCAACCTTCGCTCATAAGGGAAAGGCAACCGTGCCAGTCTCTGACAACCGCTCCACAATTGCTCAGCCCCATGGAGGTCTCTTCTAGCGCTAATCCACAGGATATTATCAACTTACAGAGCTATGGGTTAGCTCCAAATGTCATGTTGTCGGCATTTTCTACCGTTCAACCGTGAGTGGGGCCGTCTTTCTCTTCTTCGCCTACCTAAACTTTTTTTCAGAGCTTATCCCCAGCTACAGTCTCCGTTTCCAGCCCAGGCAGCTATCTCATTTAATGGAGTAGTTTCGCCTTTGCAATGTTCAGGTATCAAAAAATTAGATTGACACCGTAAATGAATACATCAGAATTAGTTAACTTAGGGTTTCAACGTGGAACAAAGAAAAAGCTAGGAAATACCTTTGTGAAAGTGAAAGACTAATGCTATAAACATTGGTTGCTAATTTTGCAATGATATGCTTTCTTTTTCATCCTCCCATCATAATGGCTCCTTCTTTTTCACACCCCTAGTCTAATTGCTCTCAAAGTCACTCAATAATTAGAATTCCAGGAAGCTGAATGAACGACTACTAAATAAACCCTCTTTCTAGATTCGTTTCCGCCTTCAACCTCGAGAACTGCTTCCAGTGAAAATGGGCTTGGCGATCTGAGAAAGTACTCAAAATTGTCTGTGCAGGATCTTAATTTGCTCCAGGTTACTAACATGTCATAATATTTTTGTAATTCTAAATATTCAGCAATTTGATTAGGAATTGATCAAAGCAAACGAACCTCTCAAAGCTCCATTGGACTTACACTTCAATGGCGAACTGAGCTTGATGGATGTGGTGAAAATCAGCGAGGCTGCGTTAAAAAGGATCGTTTGTATGGCAAGAGATCTGGCAGCTTTCCAAGGACTGGACATAGAAGACAAGAAGAACCTTATGAAAGGTAGTGCCTGAGCATAATTTGATCGTGCTTTGCATGCTTATCTCAGGGAGCTGCAGCGAGTTGCTGATTTTGCGCGGAGTCATGGCTTTTGATCCTAACAAAAACACTTGGAATCACAATTTTACCACGGTTTGTTTCGGTTTAGTTAGATTTTACACTTTCACAAATCACTACAACAATAGCAGTTTCAGGGCCAAAAGTTTTGTAAGGAATTTTAACATCATAAATGAAGTGTTTAGAATACTGCTGTGAAAAGCGGAAGTTCTCAAACAAAAAATGTGAAGCAGTCTTCATACAAATTGCAAGATTAGATTCGGAATTTCTGATCACAAATTTTCACCAGTTTTTTAAATCCTCAAAATCGACGGAATTCTATTTGAATCAAACAGCTGGGAGGGAGATGGCTCAAACTGTAAAGTCTTCTCTATGCTAATTTTCCCATTTTTCCATATCTAATTAATTGTAAGATCATCATTTACACTTTTGTCCCTTCCCCCCCCCCCAAACACATCAGTTCAGGAAGGAATACGAAAATGAAGCAGAGTTCTCTAAAAATGAAAGTAAGAAAAGATAATATTGAGAATGAGGGCTTCGAAATAATGAAAATAGTTTTAATTTCTATGCACATTGATCCCATCGGTCTAATTTCATTTACAATTAAAAAAGATGCAGTATAAATATAAAAATCGCATACTTTCATCTTCATTTTACTTTGCAAACTCAGAAAACTCAAAGGCAAACATCTATCTTTGATTTTCAATCATCTAATGGATTGTAGAGACCATTCAGAAGATTTTTATATTGTGTTCTCTAGGGCATCAAAGATATGGAGGTCAAACTAGACGTTCTCAAAAGCACAAAAGAAACGCAGCACTACGAGGAGCATAAACGGTAGGGACTTCTGTCGATTTCTTGGAAAAAAACCTCTTTCTAGGTTTCTCATTGGATTCAATGAACAAATTCGAAGGAACGAGTGTGTTATGCTGCTGCTGATGGCTCTCGTCATCTTCCGCCCGGATAGAGCGAACCTCATCGACAAAGCCAGAGTTCGAGCAATACAGAACATGTACTACGGGGTACTGAGGAGGTGTGTCAATACTAAACAAACTATTTTCATTTTCTACAAATCTCAGCGATATTCAGAGTGCTCGAGTGCGAATACGCGGCTAGTGAGGCCCTCATCGTCTATGAAATGCTTGTGAGAAAGCTGGAAGAACTCAAACATTTGAAAGAAGGGCTAGTCAGAATTTACTATGGATTCGACAGCCGCCAGTTGGATCCGCTTATCAAAGAATTATTCGATATGATGTGATGTGGCCAGTGATCGGGGTATTTGCATAAATATTTAACCAACACTACCTGAAAATGTGGCGCCTAATCTTTTTCAATAATTTTGAAGACAACTTTTGCGAGTGTTTTTCGCAGAAATTATTTTTTGCTAATTAGTGAAGGCTCATTTCAAATATATGAAATTGAAATCTCAATATATATGAAGCAGAAAATCTATGTGTCTGTGTGTCTGTGCACATTCCCCATAGTCATGAAAGATGAGCGGTGAAGCTATTTTGATCTGCTGGTCATCAAGATATGGGTACGTTAGGAAGCGAACACAAAACGAGTCGGAATCAAAAGAAGGGTAAATTCCGCTACACGAGAGATCAAGCACGAATGACTGGCTTCAGAAAGGGGTGGAACCCGGGATGCAATTCGTGACAATAATATATCAATGGCGAAGCGAGGAAGTAAGTTGTTTGATGTGTATCAGAATTCAATTAGCCTAGTGAGTTAAGCCAATTTTCACAACATCAGGAAGGGCAGCGAAAAATATTAGAAGAAAAAACCGATAGTTTTTTTGAAGGAGGTGGCTAACGCCACAATCTACATCTCGAAATTGGTGATCTTACCGCTCCCTCAAAATTTTTGTGATCGCTACTGCTGTTTACCAACGAATGAACGGATTATTGAGCAATTCTTGCACAAACTGTTAGCTCTAGTGTCCTAAAACTATTATGGGACTAGAGGCTATCTCGAATGATAATTACCATCATGCGATCCTTTGAATAGGTAGCAATAAGGTAAAATTTATCAGGAACCCGACATGAAATCAAAACAAGGGACTATTCTGGAGCATAGACCTGCCGTATTTAAAGCGCAGAGATGTAATACAGAAAAGGCATGACAGTTTGAAAAAAAAGAGATAGTCACAGATTTTCATATACTAGTATCAGATCATTTAGAGGCTGTCGTGATTCCATAAAATACTGATTTCACAACTCGCACAATTTAAGCTCCATTTCTGCCTTAAGTAACTAAGTTCGAGCCAGAACCAGAACCTTCGACAGCATATGTGCGAAAGTTTTCCATGCTTCATTTTTCTCTAACTTTGATTGATTTTTTGTTCTTCATCTGATCTTTGCAGATGGCAGTCAGAGCAATTTGAGAGTTATACAACATAATTTCATATTTTGCGTTCTTTCAGAATTTTGGAAATGGATTTTTGGAGATCTCAATTTCTCAGTAAGGGAAAGGAGATGACTCAGTCAGTTCCAATGCTGACACTGTGCAAAGGATCGAAATCGTCTATTCCAGCAAGTTGCCTGCATTAGCAAGTTGTATGCAATTTCTTATAACCTCTAATCTGCTGCATTACGACAATTTTGTTGACAAAAAAGATGTAATTTTGAATTACGTCGAGATTACTCTTTTTCAGTACTTTGATTGTTCATAGCGGCTGGTCTAAACACGGCCTTGAAATTTTGTCTGGAACATCGAGAAAGTTGTCCCAAATACAAGGAAATGTCCAATTTTATTGTGATCGTTTATAAAGCGAGTGATAAAAAGCTAAAACGTCTAAAATGACCGAATATAATCAGTAGCTCTTTAAAAAATACGAAGTACCTTATAAGGATTGAGTCGACTGATCAAGAATAGATAAAACTTTATTAAATAATTTAACAAACTCCACAGCAAAAAAAAACTCATCAAAATGTACAAACAATCAACATGATTGCACTGAAGTGATAACCTCACGCAAGAGTGAATAAACTAAGAGACCTCGATTAAGGTAAAATTCAAAAATATGGCAGTGGAAGAAGTAGCGACCATCGATATGTCCGCAAATGCGTACTCGTTGTCGGGGACAGCGGTGCTTAGTAGTACTTCTGGCACTCGGCAACGTATTCCTGCCTTCTCTCACACGTCAGTTGTGGGTAGTAGTTTTCGATGAAGGCACAGTGGTCTAAAAATGATCGTTTTGAAAAGAAGGGTGAGGATGGCGACGAGGTTATAACTACATACATAGAAGGGAAAATGGAAATTGAGACGGAACAATTATTAGTACAAATTTATTCTTATGAGTATTCTCTATATTAGGTTTTCTTTACGAATGGTTTCCTATGCATCTTTTCTGTGAGAGAATCAGATTATGTTTCTGTTTATTGTGCTCATCTTTGTCTATTTTTATGGTATCATCCCAATGAAACGAAGCAATTCGTTCGAAAATTGTTTGAAAAACATGATAATATGATAATATGTTCTAATATGATAAGAGTGGTATAATTTTTTTAATATATATTGTGATGTGCATACTAAAAGCACACATCCAAAACTCGTTACAAATTAAAGGTAGATTTGAAAATTGTGTTTACTATGAAATAGCGCGAATTTTCCTATTCATGGAAATCTTGTCCTTATCCAAAATCATAATGTGATCAATTCTTCGAGGAGCGATAGACGATTTTGGTGCAAGGTTTATGAGACTTTATGATATTGGTGATTTTCAAAGTATCGATACGAAGAATTCGAAGATCCTATTCGTTTTCTAATAGCGGTTCAGTCAGATGATGTACTAGCTTACAATGCTGAATTAGCGTATCATATACTATCCCATAATTGTTTGCTCAAATCACAATTTCTCACACCTTGCTTCCTATTGCTAAATTCATGAAGATGCGAGATTTTTCTCGACAAAAATCTCTATAAATGCCGAAAACCTGCTAAACCACTTGAGATGGCCTGATACGGAGGCTATAACGGATCCAATTTTTTTGATGAAGGATATGTCATTTCAGTGTTCGTCGTCGATTTTTCAAGTGTTTTTTCAAGTGAGGCAATGCTTCGCAGATGTCGAGTGCTGCATCTCGATATATGAATGCTATAGGCTGATAGACAAAGAAGACAAGAAAAGATGTTTGAGAGCATCATTTTATATATCAAGAGCTTAGAAAAACTGCAAAAAAGTAGAAGTCTGATACAAGGACAAATTTTTTGTTAATAGATAAATGTACTCGTTAACTTGGTGTGAAAATTTGTGATTGTGCAAAAGATACCCGTATTTGGGGCTTTTTCTCAAAAGTCATTTCATTGTGCAAGGATCTAACATGAGTTTAGCCCCCACTTAGAAATTCTAAAAGGGAAATAGAAAGAAACTACCTGGGGGAATTTTGTTCCAAATGAAGGGTTATGGTGCGCAGCTGCACAAGAAAAGCTATGTTCAGAAACTTTCTATTTACAAAGTCCGGAATTCACAATGACCAGATATTTCTTCTGGCGTGACTGGTTCTAATCTGATGCGATTTTTGTAATGACATTTTTGGCAATTTGTTTCGCATAGGAACCAGTTTTTCGTTGCTATCCGTTTGTAGTCAGCAAAATCAGGATCATAGACCAGCTTATTGTACTAAGCGCGAGTAATATGTTAATAGCACAAAGTATAACTTGAAAGCTTGAAGAAATCTCTGAATTTTTTGAAAAATTAAGCGCTATCGAAGCTAGTGATTGGATGAGTTCTATGTTCACTACGTGCCAGATCGTCCATGAAAAAATGCTACGCCATTCAACCACATGTGACCCTCTTACACCATTCTCAAAGCAATTTCCCGTTCGAAATGACTGCCTTTGGCAACATTTGTAACGATGCTCACCCCGTGAAAACTCGTCCACATCATTGATGCCAAACTGCCGTGCAAATGTTCGAATATTCAAGCAGTGTTGCCGATGTGGAAGGTTCGAGTCATTCCACGACATGCTGTTTTTCGACGACTAGAATGAGGAGCATCTAATTGTTTGAAGGAAGGATGTTTCCAACTCCTACCTTAGCTTTCTTAACCCTTTTGGATCTCTTTAACTTTTTCGTTCGTACTGGTCGACTCTCCCCACTTCGTTCTTCGCTCCTCGCTCGGCTCGACTCCGTTCTCTCCCTGAATCTCCGTAAGCGTAGAGTTTTGCGCTTCAATGGAGCCGAAGTCACAGGTTCCGCCTCAATCGACTCTTATGAAGATCTTTTTGTGGAAAGAATGCGAAGCGCTAGCGAACCTGTTGGGGTTCCTGTCTGTAGTTGTTTTCAGCGGTATCTTCTTGCTTTACGCCGACGTCATCATTTTGTGTGTAAACTCTTAAAAAAGCAAGGCAGAATGGAACAAAAATGAGACAAAGAATCATTATAATAGTTCGACAATCAGAATAGTGTATCTGCGGTGTCGGCAACACTTGCCCGTAAAGAATAGCCATGATTCGTAAAACACGTGAAAAAAGTGAGCTCCATAACAATTTCTACGCACAAATGATGTCAGCATCATAACATGACAGTTTTCCCCGCGCAAACGTTGTGAGTGCCGCAGTAGCACAGTAATACCCGCTAAATTACATTCTCTTTGATCAGCACAAACCTCAAAGGTTTCTTGGTTTTTCCGCTCCTTCTGGTCTTTCGCTTTTTCTTTGGCGGCTCCGTCGTGTCCTCATCCGCGGGTGTTTTCTCTTCAAAACTCTGCAGCTCCTTGGAAACGTACGTATCGACCGGCTCGTACTGAAAACAGCAATCGTAAAGTGGATGGCCAAAATGCTCGATTTGCTTCCTACCTTTCTCTTCTTCCAAGTCTTCGATGCAAACATTCGTTCATGCTTTCGGATAGCAGGAAGTGTCAAAACTGGCACGCGCTCGAGAAATTTCTGGAAATTTACTTCTCTTGTAGGTTTATCTCACTATCCTTATCACGCTTTTGCCCCCCTCCCCCTCTTCATTGCTGAAATTAAGCTGATATGGATAAGTGTGTTTGATGATTCTTGAAGATGATCGAGGTCGCGCGGAGAATATCCTGGACCCCAATATCTGGTTTCCATAGCAAGAAAGAGATAGAAAGAAAGCAAAACGCTGCCGGAAGATTAAGTATCACCATCAATCAAGGCTAAGTGTCGCCTATAGAAGGGTTTGGATTGCTAATACGATTATTCTAATCCTAATGCGACGCGTTGAACGAGAATTAGGACATATAAATTAACACCCGTGTTTGTTGTTTCCCTTTCGCAACTACTTTAGTGAATTTAAACAGTGATGTGCCTGACTGAGGACCATATGTACATTTAGCAGAATCAAAGACCAATATAGGGAATTTATGGGGCCGAAAAACTTGCTCAGAAGTAAATCTCTTGAAAGCGCAGATCTTCGTATGTGCTGCGAGGCATTTTTTACACGCAAATGTTACCGCAGAGTAAATCCAAGGCATCCAATCTGCTAGACTACACCTTTAGTTTAATATGATAAAAACTCGTACCGTGACTGGAATACGTTAATTTTGGTTCATCAATATATTACATTTCGTGCATGATGTAAAAGTACCATATTCATAGTTGAAAACTCGGGCAGGCTTAAGGGCCGGCCATACTCCACGCAATTTTAGACGTGACGCGATTTGGAAATTTGCCAGATGTCTTCAGACCCAACCTAGCAGACTGCACATGCATAGTGTGTATAACTTACGTCGATTGATAAAGTGCAATATTATACATTTGAAATATGTTCATAGTGAGTTAAGGACAGTTAGATTGTCAAACCGCGTCGCAACTGAAATTGTGGAAGTATGCCCGACCCTTTGACATCTACTTTCAGCATTCATAGTGCAACTGCGTAAAAAATTCTTCATTCATTAGCCCTAGGCAAAAGCTCAAATGGACCCAATCGCGATGCAACAGTTATTTCAAAAAATATAAAGAGATGTGAGAAGAATTTTACATTATTGTAGACTTGATGGGAACTTATAGTAAGATGCAGCTCGCTTATTAATTTAAATTTTCAGTATATATAAGAAGCATTATTGCTAGCTTGCTAGAATAACCTTTTCATGACCCTGGCGCTTTTGGAGTCGTAAATAAAGATGGAAATGAAGGTGATTTGCAGATCGCTTTGTCTTGATATCCTTTTATTTTACTATTGATTCAGGCGAAAGTAGCATGTAATAATGAATTTGGACTGTCAGGATCTACAAACGAAATCCTGTTTTGCTCTTCAGTCCGTAAAAAAAGTTGAAAGCTCCGCAGTCCTTAATTTTCCTGCTAATGGGAGATGTGCAATTGCACATTTTGGGAAGTAGGGTTTTTGACTGTAAGGGTTTTGAAATAGGATAGCTGACCAGGCCTACAGTCACGTGAATGCTCAAGCGAGTTTTTCTATCAACTTTTCTACCTCTCCACTATTTGGAAAGTCCCTACTCTATATGCTTACCGTTTCAGGTGCCTTCGTTTGGCTCTTCTCGTACTCTTCGGATGTCTTTTCCCGCGATCGCATTTCTATGCTATCCTGGTCCATGGATTTGCTCTTTTTCGATGGTTTCCTCGACTTTCGCATCTTCCGCAGTTTTCGCTTTCGCGGCTGCGACTCCACTTCCTAAATCGCCGAGCAATTAAACGACAACAATTAGCATTGTCTGCTGCTCCTGTTCTCAAACACACGCCTATGTGAAGTGTTTCTTTGAGTCATTTTTCTTTGACTGAAAGCGGCGGAATCAGGAACTGAAGAGGGGTATAGAAAGCGAAAGAGTTCCGTGGGTATGATTGACACAAAAAGACCTATACGATGTTTGATGTTATATGGTTCGATAGCGAAACATAATCTGGTAAGAAGAGAAAGGGCAAAATTTATGAGTTGAATTGAGATTTTCATGAGTTTTGATTTATGCCCTTCGGAAGCTGCTAGTTATGATCAAACCAAAATGGAGAAATTTTTGCAAATCACTAAAGAATGGGAATTTTGGGAGTTTTTCTGACGTGGAATCAACAAGGTGAAGCGAGTGATTAGAGGAATGAATGACATCATTAAGAACTTATTTATGAACAAAATACTTGAGTAAAAAGAAACTGCTTACAAACAATTTGCTCAGATAATCCCGGAATCTCAAAAACGTATCGCTGAGGAGGAGAGCTCACCTCCCTGCGTTGTTCCATGACCTCTCTCAGTTCTTCTCCCCTTGTGAGAGTTCGAATTTGATCCATTTCTGCAGCCGTTGCTGTCTCGATGGTCCGAATCCGAAGTGGACTAGCTTGTGTGGCCTGTGAATCCCTTTTTTTCAAGCTCCTCAAGCACTTTAGTCACTAGATCACCTTTAGCGCCAATCTCGGAGGCACGGCAGCCTCATCTGCGAAAACTCGGGCTGTTCTTCGTTGTTCCTCTTCGCTGGGCAGATATGTCTTGAAAATTTTCGTAGTTGGATAATCGCCATTCGTGCTGGACCTAAGGCTGTGATCAGGCCCCTTTATAGGAATTAGCAGAAGAAAGTAAATCCCACGTGGAAGACAGTGGCTGCTGCGACGAGGTGATGGCAATAGGATCGCTCTGAGGTATTTGTGTCCCAAGGATGTCTTGCTGGAACTGTGCATTGCTGATAGGTGTTATGAACCGTGGTGGATACTGGAAAGCTCCCGACTCGAGTGATCCCGAGGAGCGATTTGTTACGTGCTGTGAACTTACTAAGCGCTTAGTCGTTGTTGATTGGGAAAATAGTGCAGGGGTAGTGGTAGGAATGGGACTTCGACGATACACTTCCACTGGAGGAGGGAACGTTGGGGCTTCGACCGAGTAAGCAGCTTGGACTACATTCTAAAAATGATGCATACTCAACGAAGTAATAGGAGGCAGAACAAATAAGAATTGCAAAAATAATTAGTTCTGGAAATTATACTTTGTAATATTCAAGTGATCGTTCGATTTCTTAGAAAATCCTATTTGTCTGTTTACCTTGCGACGTTGAAAGCTTATTACTAGTGAAGCATAATCTCAAAACTACTAGGGGGCTCTTGCTTCGGGACCTGCTCGCTTTCCCGCTGCGTGGTGATTTTTGAATGCACGCTACGATTCGTTATGAGATTCTGTCTACATGAGCACATTTTAACCAGTAACTTTAATGGTTTGTTTGAATTTTGTGCAACCAAAAAGAAAACTATCCATTCAAGTGTTGATTAACATCTATTACAATTACAATTTATTCAATTTATAGCGTTAAAACATTGATATCAAGGCACTGTCATCTCAAATGACACTAATTCTTCAAATCAACACCAATTTTCTTTCGATCAAAACATAGTGTCCATTTATTTCATGGAATGTCACATTTGATATCAAATATGGCATGTGCCGTTTTCACTCGAAACGCGAAAGAGAAGCTCAAATTCAAACATTTGATTACTAAAATACTATACTACTTTGCGAGCAATGTAAGACTTTGGCGAGAAAGAAGAAATAAAAATTGTCATGAAGAAGGGAGGTAAAGGACAATTTTCTTAGATGCGGATTATTTTGAAAAGGTTTTGAACTAGATAGTTATTATTTCAGGATCTAGAAACTTTTCAAAGCCTTTTAGTAGTCATATATGCACCTCATGATAAACTATTCATTTACATCTAAATTTTAGAAAGTTTCTGATGCATGATGCTCTGATATTTAGCTTTTGTTTCGAGCGAAGAGCACTTGCAACCATTTCCATCCAAGAGCTTTTCTGGCCTATTTCTTTCCTTGAGATCTTTTTATCTTTTCTAATTAACCTCAGAGCTAGTAAATAGCACATGCCGATCCACCTTGACTTCTTTTACTGGCTATGAAAAGGACCAGTTGATTTCCACAAAGAAGTGGTCATGCAAGGAATGAAGCGTAGGAAAAGCCTTCTATTCATGGCCTTTCGTGACTCAAAGCTTACTTTCACCAGTGCACAATAAACTCATGGATACCGAGTCCTAGAGTCAAGAATCATTCAAAGAGATGGTTGTAAGAGATAAAACATAGCAATACCCTTGGTTTTTCTTGTATAAAAGGCGACGATTCCACAGGTGGTTGGCTCGGCAGTGAATCCTTGCTGCTGACTACTCTCCCAGGCAGAATGAGCACTTGTTGGTAATACCTGAAGGTAATCTATAAGTTGGAGTATCCTAAGCCCATATAAGTATGTGCGCTTACGTTTTTCCATCTGGCTGAACGATTGGCTGATAGGCATACTGGGGTTGGACATTAGTTTGAGGAAGTCTGCAATTACACTATATGAATAAGTTGATCAGAGTGGTACAGTGGCAAAGTACCCAGTATCGCTTTGCACTATGGGAAGCGTGCGCAGATGGACGGGATTGGACATAGAAGTCTGAAATCATTATAATTTAGGTAATTACCATCATTGGAAATTACTCACAGCTCCCAATCCTTGCTGTAGTGGAGCGACTGGCACTTGGGAGGTTGTGTCCAATTTTGGAAGTAAGCTAAACAAATTAGAAATTAGCTAGAGCGGGTAAAGTAACTGATATCTTCTTACTCCGATATCGCGATTAATGTTGGGTCTTTCTTCTTGTGGTACTTCTTCTTTTTCTTTGGCCTTTCTTCTTCCTCCTCATCGGAGTTCTAAATTTTCCATACAAAAGCTGCAATTGGCAATTCCAATAAGAGTGGCACACCTGTGTGAAGGCGCTATCCTCTTCAGAGCTTCTGTGAACTTTTCTGCAAAAATAGGCAATAGTCATCGAAAAATATTGATTCAATATTTTTTTTTGCGAAATACGCTACATTTTCCATTTTGTATAACTCTTGTTTGAGACAGGGCGGAATATTCTGTGAAAGATAGCGGTTTGACGATGGAGACAAGGGACGTAATAAATCTTAGGTGAGGTGACAGAAATCTTGGAAATTATTGATAAATGTGTTTTAAGATAGTTTACATGTGCGACAAAATAACCTGGTAACCCGTCTTTGTATCTAAATAATAAAATGTTATATTTTTCTTGCTGATTTTGGTAACAAGGGTTTAGCGCCGTGATTGCACTTTTGAAAACCCGGTCAGAACATTGATAACATTGTTGACAACGGCATTGTTCTGGACAGAATTCATTTCTATACTTCTCAGAGCGCTAAGAAGGTTGGAGCGGCTATTCTCATGTACTGAGGGTAGCGACATCAATTCAATTCAGTGCTTGAAAAAAGAATTTTCATACTTTTTAAATAACATCCCCGAAACTATGTAAAAACGAAAAATGATGGAAAACATGTATATAGTAAAACAGCAGGAGTTTTTGGAGACTTCAGTACCTCCGCACGATCCAAGGTGCGCTTGTGGTGGTCTGAGGGTGTTCGATGTAGCCGGCGTCGGCAGCCAACTTGGTCATGATGTCGGCTGGTAGTTGAAACAGCCTGAACTTGGAAAAACTCATAAGTTATGAGTCCGTGTGCCGGGCTCACTTGTAAAACTCGTCTGGGTTTTTCTCGCGATTCGCCTCGCTGTCGTTTTGCGCCATCGGCAACTTGGCGATTGCTTCGACGGTGCCCTGAAATGCGGCGCGATTAGCGGCGAATCGCAGCCATCTGCACAGCACGCCATGCACGATAGCCCGTGTGTGGGGTTAGTGGCTGATATGGGCGAGAGAAGAGGGTTAGGCGGTGGGGGTCATGGCACGACAGGGGCTGGCTGCACGCTCTGCACGTTACCGATTTCAACGCTTGATACAAAACGGAAACATCGGCCTCGGGTGAGAACATCAATGGCAAATCAGGACGACCCTAGCACGCAAACCAAGTTAGGAACGAAATCAAAGCCGGGTGGGGAAGCGCCGATCGCGTACCTTCACGATCTGCTTCACGTCGATGTAGTGCTCCTCCTCGGCAGCTCGGCCGACCGCCGCCAACAGCAGCAGCGCGATCCACCGCATCCTGCAAGATGCGCGATTAGCCGGCTGCGACGCGATTGACGGACTCGAGCGATAAAACGGAGTGCGATCTGACCCCTCTCTCTCATAGATCGCTTACGGTGATTTATTGAGTACAATTCGTGGATTTCAATGAAAAACTCGGAAGTATCACAAATGAGAGGGAGTAGTTGAGCTCATGAGAAAAAAGGAAACATATCTTTTTGGTTAGAGAACTCACGTTTCGTGAGATGGTAAAAATCACATAACTCAAAGGAAGAAGAGAAACTGATTCTCATAGCTTTCCTTAGATAAAAAAGAGTTTATAAAAAGTAAGAGATAAAGAGAATCTCATCGAAGACAAGAAATCGCGTTCTGTGAAAGCAATGGTATTTTGAACTCTGAACAATTGATATCAATCACTCGAAGAATCCTACAGATCTGGCGAGATTCCACTCATTATCGGTCACAAGAAAAAAAATGGATAAGAGAAAGAAAAGGCAAAATATGGTTCACCCAATTACCTTTACGAAACGGGGACACATCATTGCGCTAAAAAAATCGACTCGCCCCAGACCGTTCAGATGTAATTGACTCTACTTACAGTCTTCGTATTTATAAACTGAGAGTAGGATATCTTCCGTGGGGTAATTGCTAACCTCTTTCACCAAACAGTTTATAAAAGTCAGTAGAAGAGGACAATCCTCTGACTTGATCTTAGATTAATGTTGAATCAGCTTTACAACTGACATGTGCTATAAAAGATATTTTTATTTTTGGAGGCATTCTTTATAAAACTGGGCCCATTGAATTATTATCAATCGAGAGTGCTGCTAAATGAAAGAAAGCGCAAAAAGCGATTATTAAATGTGTAGCCTAGCCTAAGAGAATAATTTCTCGACTGCTTCGGGTAAAAAACGTAATTTCACTGGGGTCGTCCGAAACTCTTGCTGTTTCCATTTGGCGAACGAAGTTGTTTTTTTTGGTAAACTGGCTGCCTTCTCCAGTTCCCTTTTCCCAGATCAGAAGGACTTATCTAGCTAGCTATACCATCTATCCAGCTAAGAAGTTATCCAGTTTTCGCGGGAGGGGTGACGGAGCTAGCAAGCCTACAAGGTTATTTGGCAAGCCTGCAACTATATTTTTTTGTCAGAAAGCTCGTATTTTCGCATAAAGTTGAGGAGTTATGTTAAATAATCACAAACAAAAGCATGGAACAAGTTATTAATATATAGATTTTAGCTGGGCTCTCAAAAATTTCTCTATCTAAGCTCAAAGGGGCATCATTCCACCACTGGTATCTAGCCTACATCAATATAAATTTGATAGTGGTGGAAATTATTGAATTGACGGTTACATCCTAAGGAAAAGTAAACATCAAGGAACGCCTACTTATTCAACACAAAAAAAAAACAATAACTGAGAAAGAAATTGAGTGTAGTTTTCCTTCCTTTTTCCTTTTTTGTGCTAACCTCTTTTGTTGTTAATATTAAATCCCATAGCATGCAGATGTAGTAATGGCAGATGTTTTCTTGTTGTGAATATAAGACATGAGCAAGGCAAGCATGTACTATAATATTAGGTAATACCTACTAACAGTCGGAAAAGTGACATAGAAAGCAATTGTCAAATTCAAGATAATCTCTTGTTAAAGGAGAAGACAACCAAGAAAAATGAGAGATGGTTAGCTTCAAGCTAAATACGGTAGAATAGATTTTGGCAATTTACCAAGAACAAACCAGAATTAATGAGTGACTGCATCCATTGCAAAATCAACTTCTTCCTGAGATGAGCATACGGCCTAGGGTAACCAATATAGCATTGATTGCGACTATTGTTAGGATTTGCTATTGATTTTGGAGTGTTTGTAAAGAAATAGGATTGAACAGCTTTTTTGCTGATCTTAGTTTGCAGGTCTTTCCTCCCAGTTTGAATCTCTCGGCGAGGTAAATGCATTCTGTATATAGGTTACTAGATTAGCATTGCAGATTAGCAGAGCTGAGAATAAAGAGGAAGAAGTAGGACGAGATTGAAGGGATTTTTTATGATTATCTGACAAAGAGCTTCCAAAAAGTACTGCACATACTTGCTCGGCCATGCTTTCAGTTGAACTAATAAAATGTAAGATGAAAAAAACTAGCAACCACGACCAACAAAGCTGATGGTATTTGCTAAGAATGCAAAGAGATAATGGACAACCGAGAATAGGGCAAACGCCCCCGACACTGTCCGAACCCGTTCTCGTCACTCATCAAACATGCTTCATCCGCCGATTTATTGCTGAAAGAAGGTTGTACGTCATCAGAAAGCTACTTTTATTTCTTTCGAGAGCATAAAATGATAGGGAGAAAAAAGAAAAGTGTAGAAGTCCCTTTGGTGGCCCTATCGCCCATATGATAGCACTCTTTAGCGAAGAGCGTTTCAATCAAGAGTTGAGTATTTCCTTACCGGGAATTTTCGGGAAAGGCTATAAGTTTGGTATGTATTTCTCACGTAAGTACAAAATGGAAGAGAAACAACAGCATTTCTAATGGTTTTCTATATTTCATAGATTTCAATAAGATATGACTAAAAAATAATTTCCTTACTTTTTGATCTAATTGATATATTTTGTAATTTGAAGCGAGTACATAACAAGGAAAAACTATATCTGTGGAGGAGTGAAGTGCAGTACAAAGGCTTACAAAATGCAAGAAAGCTTTGAAGTAAAACGACTTTGGGTTACCTAACTAATCAGGAAGAACAGGATGATTCACATGAAATGTGACGCAAAAAATTCCCATAATTCTGCATTAAACAATCATTCCAAACGGTTAACTTTATCTGATATCTACGAAGTTTTGTATAGGTCCTACTTAGACTTAGATACATTCATTGAATCACTCTCGTGAATTTTTTAGAATGCGCGCTGTCATTTTCAATATGTTGCTTCAATATATTTGCCTTACCTGATAAGTTTTGAAAAAGGGCAGAAAACTTCCTAGCAACCCTTTAATGAAACAAAATTGTGCATTGATGATCTGGACGATAAAAAAGCACTCGAGCTATGCATTTTTTCCAAAAAGCTCTTAAGCAATACCTTCCTATTTCAAAAGTAGAACCATAATAGGAAGGTAAACTGGGAGAAAAGGATTTATAGCATTGTAAGGCAAAAAAGTAAACAGTGAAAGGTTGAAAAGTGAATTTTTGGAAGCCCGTCAAACTTCGTGTGGACCTTCAACGTTTACGAGGTAGGGAATTTTGAAAGCGAAGTAAGAAACACGAAATCGGAAGAAGGAAACTGCGTTCACGGTACTCCATTCTTCGAATGTTATTTCTGTTTATCATATATCCTCCCTGTGAAAATCGTATCTTAAGAAATTTTATTATTATTTTGGACCCGAATAAGCTCACTGCTAGTCCAAATAAGGGCAATAAAAATACGGGCAGTTCCCAAGGCTTCCTCAGCTAAAACGATTGTGGGGCAGCGTATGGGCTATGAAATTTAAGGATGAATCGATTTATATGTATTATGAGAAACTAAAAATCCCTAATAATATGAATTGTATGAATTAAAAATTCCTGATCAAGTAATTTGCATAAATCTTTTCTATATGAATCTCCCCATCAGAGTACGAGAATTTTTTGGGTTTGCAAAAAGCCATGCTTTTTAGCGGATTTCCAAGTTTAATGCGGGTATTCGGCGCCTTCGGTTGCACTTTGCAGAGAGCGCTATCGCATTCGGATAGTAGAAAACTGAAACTTAACCCGACGTAAAGGAGAAAACACGGAGTTGTCGGGGGTTAGCGGACGCGTCCGAGCGAGAAACAACAGAGATATATCCGCCTCATCGTCGTTCGAGTCGGTCGCAAGCGGAAAAAGTGGATGACTGTGAATTCCTCTTGAAATCACACTCAACACGCTCTTCGATGGCCCCACCGTTGCGGCGGCGACGGCCATCCGCTCTCATACGCTGTCTTTGCAGTTCTTCACGATAGCACTAGTGCTATGGGAATCTCTGGAAAACCGGATCCTTAGCTGTCAGCTGAAGTAAAAAAGATGTTGAGCTCAGAAGAAAAGTATTTTCTCTACAATAGCGAATTTTAGTAGGGCTCACAAGTAGTGAAAGGGAAGAAGTAGCGGTGAAATAGTGAAGGAAATGAAGCAAAAGTTGACTACACTTCAAAAATCTTATAAATTTGATATCTGTGTGCATTTATGGCAATGTCGGTTTGATAAAGTTTCCCTCGGCGAACAAGAGGGGGGGGGGAAGGATTGCCTCCGCGTCACCTTTTTAAAATTCTGGGTTTGATGAAATTGTGAAAAGCATCGCAAAATTTTTCCCGAGGAAAATTATCTCATTCCTAATCCGCCCTACCCCTGGAAAATTTCTTGGACCGCCGTTGATTTATTCTTGATTATACAGCAAACTTGGGATACCAAAATCTGAACAACGAAGAAGAAAAAGCGTCACGGAAATTATCCGCTAATATAAAGTAATAAAGATTTGTTTAGTTTAGTGTCCTTGCAGTGCTGGCAACATTTAGGCGTGAAAAATGACCAAAAAAATCGAACATTTGCTCTCATTGGCAATTTATTTCGCTTAAAAGTTGTTTCACTACGGGGGCACTATATTAATCTCAAACTATATTAGGCTAGAAAAGGGAGAGCTCGATTTCGCTTGCTGTGTTTGCGAATTAGTGAAGCGTAAGTTCTCCAAAGTTCGGGAGTAAGTAGTCAACTTCCTATAATTGGAGAAAACGAGGTCACGGGGATTATTTCCTTGTAAACATCCCGAAATCTTAGCTAATTTCCTCTGGGAAGGAATTCAACGAAAAAATGTTGTAATTCACTTTTATTTGAATTTTAGAAGGGAGTTTTTGAGGCATTTTGTGATTTACATTCATTGATGTCATTGTTTTATACAGCTTGATAATTTACGAACTAACTAAACGATACCGTTTCATCATCAGAAAAAGGAATGAGAAGGAGATCTCACTGTGAAAGTACTGATTTGTCATAATTTGTATTTCCACTTGAAGATG